TTTTGGGAACAAAACTTAAAATTTTTTGTTAAATTAAATTTTGTTTCACCAATATTGAAATCCAGTTCTGACCCTGCTGAGTATGTACAAGTGAAGAATATTTGTTTCATAAGAACTGTGATGACTGACTTCATATTAAGAAGTTAAAACAGAAGAATGCTTTTTAAAAATAAAGAACAATTTCAGGTCAGCATAAGCCAAAAGACTAACACCTCACTTTGCAAATTATTTCTAAAATATGCCTTTATCCTGTCTTGTATTGAAAATAAACTTTGAAGAACTAGGGTTTTATCTGCAAGCAATGCCAAAGTCTCAACAGCTCTAAGAGTGCTGAAGCTATTACGAACTATTAGTTTTGTGAATCTGCCTGGGCTTTGTATTTCTGGATCTGTTACAAAGTTGCCCAGGTTTAAACAAATTGATTTTACCTGTAATAGCTAAAATTAATCATTTGTCCTTGCAAAAGTCATTGTTCTTTGTCTACAAAGTACTTTTTAAAAGCGTTACAGGAACAAAAATCTAAACATGTCATTTTTCTGATTCTCTTCTGAGAGAGGAATTGTTCTCAAAATATCTTAGATACACTCTCAGACCCTTTTCATACAGGGGCATGAGAGAAGGATCTAAGCAAAGGCAAGACTCTTGCCAGTGAGGGCCACCTCCAGCAGACTTCTATACGCTGCACGCTAAGAATCCAAGTGAAGGGATTCCCACTGGAGAGACTGGCTGCTGTCAGCAGAGCTGATAGGTCCCCCACTCCTTCCTTGCGGTGTCTTCAGTCCCTTACTCAGGACTACAATCCTTTATGGCAGGAAGAAAAATGCCTGAAACTCATAAAATGCAGTGGTTGCATTCATTTGGAAACTGCAAACTCAATGCTGTTTTCATCCATGTCTGCATGTTGTCAGCAGGTAACAGCGTGCTTCTGGTCATGGTACTACTTCCTGGTGTTGGTTTCCTTAAGACTGCGTAACATTTGAGGCTGCCATCCATCCTACCTAACACCTTGAAGTTCCTTGATTCAAAAACTTGGCACAGAGGGCCAGAAATATTCCAAAGTTTGCTATCTGGGATAAAGCTGCTTCCCTTTGCACTACTCTGGGCACTGCTCTTGCCTCAGTTCTGCAGTTTCTTCCCTTCTGCAGGTCACCATATCATATTTTCATCCTTTCCCTTCACGGGCCCTTGTAGCAGTGATGTTTTTGTTGTTGGTGGCTTTTTTCCTCCAAATCTGTGCTTACTGTTGAGCACAATTGAAAAGTGCTGTAGAGGAAGGTCTGAATCCCCATGTTTCAGCTCTGTACGCTGAGCCAGTTCTAAAAAAAAACATGATCTCCCTACAACTACAAAATCACAGAATTGCAGGGATTTGGAAGGGACTTCAAGAGATCATCGAGTCCAACGTCCCTGCTGAAGCAGGTTCCCCACAATAGGTGACACAGACATGTATCTCCGTAGAAGTGGACTCCATAACCTGTACCAGTGCTCTGTCGATTATGGTGAATCCATGGCTGCAGTACTAGATGGTGAAAAATATTCATCATACTGTCTTTTCCTATCCCAGGTGCTAAGAAGAAAGGCCAGTGTAGCTGGTAGGTATCAGCCCAGGACACGATTAATGGTTCTGCCAGCTTTTTGCCTTCTCACCATTTTACCTCTTCCCTTAGTTTTTTCCTTAGTTACAGAGAGGAGCACTGGGAAAAGAGAGATGTTGCAGGCCTCTCTCGGTAGGTAGTAGCAAGATCTTTGATAATCTGGCTAAAGGGCCTAAATCTCCCTCTCTGTTCTTGTCCATCCTCTCCTTCTTGTACACAATTAGGTTTAAACAATTAAAAATAAATAAATCAGTAGAGTCCCACCCCCCTTTCTCCTAGCTTCAGACCCAGATATCACATTAAAGCTATAGGCTCATTTACTTTTGGTTTGAGATCTTGAATTTAATACAAATCAAGAACTCTTTCAGGAGCCTGACTCAAAGCAACAAGCAGTTAAGGCTAGTGAACATATGGTATTGCCTTGTCTTGACTTCAGAGGATGGTGATGGCAAAGCAGTTGCTAGCTTAGCGTTTGCTGAACTTCCCTGCACAACACATGTGCACTGTCTTGTTTGGTATGCACCCACACCCCAGTATGGGTATGGAGGATTCATATGCAGGAACCTGGCTGGACTAGCCAACCACATCCCTCACTGCAGCTACACAGTGAGCACTTTATGAGCACTAGGCAGAAATTGAGCTCCTACGTGGGCAGCGTTGTCTTGCTGTAGCCCTACAATCTGTGTGCTTTTACTGTAACCATCCTGGCCACTCAACCACCATCTGGGCCCAGCTGGACAAGCTTGACTGCAGCAGAGTGGAGAGGACAGCATTATCAGATGGCACTTGTCTCCTCCCAGTCGACTCTGAAACACTTGGGACTAAGCTCTGGGTTTCCAGCCTCCCAGTCATGAGAGGCACTTGCTATTCCATTGCCTGGCACAAGTCTCCTGCTAACTCCAGCCGGTCCCTGTGCCACAACATCAGCCAAAGGCCAGCCACAGAAGATTGCACAACCAGGCCTTGATCTGTATTTTCCACTGCTCAGCCAGAAACCCCCTCCTTTTTTCCAGCACAGACATTTTCCATCTCTGCTCAGCAAGCATGCCCTGTTTTTGATTCCTGGGCCTTGCTTCATGAAGCAGTCATGGGCAGGCTGTCTGGATGGAACAGGTCACAAAGTGGCTATGGGATAACTATTCTGAAAGCCAGCACAGAACAAAGGGGAGCTTTGCCAAGGCTCAGGTGAGCACACTGACAGGCTACTGACACAAGCATGAACGCAGGGTTTACTTCCTCTGCACCATGGTAATTGAACTCCCTCCTCCCTTTTCCTCTTCCGCCTGCCTGCCACAGTTTTCTCCTATCTAGACCCACATTTCATTAATAGTGAGTGGGTATACGGGTGATGGTATCACTTTTTTTGCTACATTACTCATTCACAACTCCTAGACCAAGGTGGCTTTATTTTCTCATGACACCAGCCCTGCCTGACTAGGTTTGGCCCCATTAGCATCTTGGTTGATGATAACATGACATGTGGCTGCAGCTTGGTAATTTGAAGCCCTGCCATTACAGACACTTAGCCAACAGTGTAGGCAGAGGATGGTGGGGGTGACAGACAATGGGAGGAGGCCCGGGATGAAGCACAGATCCAGATGCGCTCCACTTAGGAACACCAGCAGCCAGAAACACCTTGGTATTGCTCACCTTGGCTGTCTCCCCAAAACACTGGAAAACAGCCAGCTCATATTAACCTGGAAATTAGCTAGCTTCCTGAAGAATTACAGAATCACAGAATGGCCAGGGTTGAAAGGGACCTCAAGAATCATGAATATCCAACCACCGCCACATGCAGGGCCACCAACCTCCCTATTTAATACCAGACCAGGCTGCCCAGGGCCCCATCCAACCTGGCCTTGAACACCCCAGGGATGGGGCATCCATAACCTCTCTGAACAGCTGTTCCAGCATCAAGGGAAGGATTAAAGGAAAGGCATTAAAGTTAACACCAGCTATATTAACTAAAAATATGTGTACAAAAAGGTCAGAGCTATAACTGTTATGGGAATCATACTGTAAAATCATACTTTGACTTTACATGTGAAGTGTAGTCCTTCACTGTAATGGCCTGTAAAGTATCAGGTCTTGCACGTCTTTAGGCTGGAATGGGTTGAAGGGGAAGTTACGAAGTACAGCCTTGGAGTTCACAAAGATTTGCTGTGGAAGAGGATTTGAGGCCAACAAGAGTAGGACAAATAGTGCAGACGGCTGATCACTTTCTTTCTGGAAGGAGTTAACAACCACTTCTAAGACAAAACAGCTGGGCACTCTCTCCAAACTGCCAGACTGCAAATAGGCAGAGGCAACATATAGAAAAGGAGAAGGGAAGCAGCATTCTACCTCCTTTTCTTTATAAAATTTACACTTGATCTGTTCTGGCCATTCTAACTAGTTTGCCTGTCTACACAAGGGCTATGAAAGGAAGGATTCAAAAATCAGTTAATTGAATCAGTGCTGTCATCACACAAGCCACAGACTGCAGCAGCAGTAGTTGACACATGGGAAGCAACTAGGGAATTTTCTGCTAGAGCTATTTCTTTGCTTTTGTGGGAGTCTTTGTTTCAGTAGTGGGGCCTGGGTGGGAACTAGGGGAAGGGAAGAAAAAGCAGCAGACTCAGATGCCTCTAGCAGTAAGTTCCAGTCCTGCCCAACAGACAGAAAGATGCAGCCTGCTTTTCCAGTCTTGGATCTCTTCCGAGCAGAGTGTGCCATTCACACCAGATTGTGCAACAGCAGGTTAGGATGCGTACGAAGAAAGGAGAAATGTCAGTTCATGGTGCAAACTCTGACCTGGCTGGCTTCAAGGCACAGATCACACTGGTGAGATATATATATGTGCTAGAATTTGTCACACACTCCTTGTGCACTCACCCCTTCCTGACAAGGTCTGTCAAGCTCCTCCTGTGCTTTGTGTGCATACGCACAACAGTTTATGAGTGCTCTTATCCTGTTTCATTCCTTTGGAAGCAGCAAAGGTGAGAGGGAACTCCACTGTTTTAGAGATCATTTAGCTTGTTCTCCTAAACTCCTTTAAAGGTATTTTCCAAACCTCCTGACTACTGTGAACACTTTCTAGAGAGGCGTTTTAATTTCTCTTTATTGAGTTCAAGTGCCTACCTACCCCCTATTATGCTTTTGCACTGCACAGTACTGTTCTGCAAAATACTTTACTACAGAAGACTTCTGACCAAAAGCCCTGATCAGTACCTGATCTGAAGTACAACTGCAATAAAAGTAAAACAACAGCTTTCAGAAGGATCACTCCTTCTGTCAGAATCAGCCCAACAGTGGCTCACATATGGTGGTCTGTGGGGCACATCCTCTCAGTAGCGTGGCCCTTTTACACCCTAAGAACCAGTGGGGCAACATTCTTGAGCAACAAAAGGAGGCATGACACAGTGGCACATAAAGCAAACTTGTTAAACTTCTTCCCCCAACTGCTTTCCGCTGGGATCTGGTTTTACCTTACCTCCAATGCCAGTACCTTGCTTTTACCATCCACATCTCCTCAATTCATTGTTACAATTCCACTTTGTTTTGTATTAGGCAAGTTAAAGAAGCTTTGTTTCAATGTCAAAGGCCTTTTTTTTTTTTCTTTTCTTTTCCACATTTTCACAGTTGACTTTTCAGTTTTTTTGGTTTAAACAAGAGATGACAGACAAGAGGTTGCTTGTGCTCTGAAAACATGCACCTGGAAATTCTAGTGCTCAAAGGAAGCTGTTGAAGATCAGACCATAAATGTTGTTGCTGTATTTGGAGAGCCAGAAGATGAACTGGATTCCATTCTCAGTGATTTCAGTCTTCCCTGAAAAGGAAAATACAGACAATGTCAGTACTGAAATACAAGAGCAGGCTACTTCTTGCACTTTAACAAGATCTTTAACAAGTGCCTTCCACCACTCCTCAGTAGAGTTGATCCTACTGAGACATTCAGAAAGACAGTGTTTTGACAGCCTGATCTCAAGTTATGCAGTACACCAGCACAGATAAGAGATCTCTTAATACTGTAATGTTACCTGGCTAGGTAGTAGCAAAAGGCAAAACTTCTCCAAGCCTTCTTAACCAATAGACCTAGTCCTATATGTTCCTTTATTGGCTTTTTCCACCAGCCTCATTTAAGGATTGAGAAAGGACAGAACTAAAGTGCATTTCTTGTATAAAAAGCAAAGCCTGGCAGTATCTGCCGTTGGAGAGCATTAAGTTCTTCAGATAGCACTTGGGTATTTAAGCAAAAGATCCGCAAACACATGAACATATGTACAAGTAAGTGATGAAGCCTGTGACAAAAGCCAAAAAAGTTCAAGCTGTGCTGCCCTATGAAGGAGGCCTGCTTGGGAACAGACAGGTAACATTCCATCTAAATTAGGACTGCCCTTATGCTGATAAGGGACTAAACATTCGTGAAACATGGGTTGGTTAAAAAAATTTCAGGAAGGGTCTTTTATATCTATGCACCTTTGGTCTTCATTCAGTTTTTTGTGCCTTGATGCCTGCTACAGCTAAAGCATTCCAAAAGGTAGCTGAGGGGATAGCTGTTCTAGAAGTACGCATAGCAGTAAGGAGAGTTAGCAAACTTGTATCAGGCTGCTCTAGGCTTTATCCAATCAAGTTTAGAAAATCTCTTAAGTATGAAGCTTTTATACACAATGACACTACTACAAGGGGAGCCAACAATGTAATTACCTGTAGGCACACTGACTGGAGAGGCCCAGGGGTCCTGAGATGAAGAAAGACAATTGGTTACTGGCTGGGCCTTATGTTTGTTTCCCAAGGTCTGTGCAAACCATGCTGCCAAGCATATGTGGTGTGCACATTAGATAATACTTAGGAAAAGTTTTCCCTCTAGAGGCTCATTCTGCGCTCATGGTTTCTGCTGCTATGCATCCAGCCAGCTTTCCTTCTTCAGCTCTGGAATTGTAACTGGAATTGTGCAAAAGTCAGCCCACATTAAGAGGCTTCAAGGGATCATCCTTTTGTTCAGGAGTGGCTCTATGTGATGCTAAAAGCAGAAGCAAGGAATGGATCCTGAGCATCAGGTGTGACTCACAGCAGTGAGTGAGAGAGGTCTGAGAAGCTCCACAGTGCTGAAAGTAACATTTGCCTCTTCTCCAAGAAAGCTGAATCTCAGCTTATTTATTTACTTTTACAATTTAAGATACAGGGAAATCCACACTCAGAAAGTAACAGTAGGAAGAATTCAGCTACTGCCACCATATCTGCATCCCCTGTGCTTTTAAGAATATGGGAGGGCTCAGCTTTCCTCTGATAAATGGGTGAAGGGAGAAGCCAGGGATTGCACATGTATTCAGATGCTGCAGTATGTTCTCCTTAGCTCTTAGTTATAACACTTAGTTATAGTATGGCTTAGAGCCAAATACAACTTGAGCCATTCCTTCTCCTCCCCCACTGAAGAATGATCTCTAAGCTCTAGACCCTCATCTCCACCCAAAATGACTGCCCTGGTTTATTTTATTCTTTTTTTCATTGTTTCCTTTTTAATCACTTCTAAGCTAAGCTTTTGTTTGCCAAGTTTTCAGCCTGGAGCAAATTTTTACAGTCAGATTATAACCTCCTATCCTCTCCCTTGAAAAAAGGTGTTTTAATGGATATGCTGCTGTCCCACCCATTATTTACCTTGCTGCTGGGAGGCAGGAGAGATGATGGCAAGCTTTTAAATTTCAGCATCTTAAAATTCTGTTTTGCAGACATGGGCACACATCTGGTTAAACCATTTCCCTCATGTCTTGGCTCAAAATCCTTGGCTGAGGCATCTCATGGCAGCAGATGTGTCTAGAGAGCTGAGGGAGAAAATCAGGAGACAAAGCGGCTAGGTTTCTCAGAAAGGGAACGGTTGTGGGCTAGAATACAACAAAATGCTGGGACTGGAGAGATGGGTCTGTCAGCATGTTACAGAGTTTCAACTACTTAGGATAGGCTGATATTAACTAACACTTGAGAAGCCCTCTTCTAAAGGGCAGGCTGAAAAGGCAGAAGACTGCTGAAGCCAGTGCCTTCCACTGAAGGGAGAAATGAGAGTCTGAAAACACACTATAACCTGGAGCCACACAGGGATTTGGACACTTCTCAGGGATTTCAGTTTCCACATTTAGAACTCAGTAAAAGCCTGAAAATCCTTGCTCAACTGCCAATGAATTCCCAACACCATTTTGAAGCCAGGGAGGCTCTGGAGAAGACATTTCAAAGCAAGCAGCTTCATAAGCAGCTTCATCTCCTCAACTGCTTGCTTTAACAATACTATCCACTCCACTGTCCTCACCCAGAGCGTGCCTAGAAGAGTTATCTGTGGTCTAAGATGGGGCACAGGGCCACAAACAGGAGAGAAATAAGGTATATCTGATGGGAAATTCCCTGTGGATGTGTCAGACCAGGGCTGAAAGTTCTTCACTGGGTAAGAGATGTTTCTTGTACAGGAACTGGTGCCCAAATTGCTCTGGGTTAAGATCTTTCATTATTTTTGTCACTTCTCTTACACTCCTCCCACAAGATCAGTATCACTCCCTCTCCTCAAGAAGTGTTCCATGTTAAGAAGATGTTTTATTGTATAACTTAAATAACACACACACACTGATACTGGCAACAAGTGATACGAGAAGACAAGTCTGTTCACACACCAAGCAAGTTGAAATGGAAAGTTTTAGAATTCACGCTCACTGATTCTTTTTGCTAAACTAATATATTGGTTCTTAGCTAATACACTGATCCCTACTGCTAACCAGCCTATATCATGCTAGGCTTTAGACTACTCTGTGCACAGATCTTCTAGAAAGGCTACTGACTGAGAAGAATGAACAGCGTTTACCATAACATAAAGGCCAATCCTGGTACAAAGCATTCTCTGCGAAGAGGGAACCTGGACCCAGAACTAACTTTGAAGTTGATGTCAAACTTCAGGTGTGAATAGCCATACAGAAGATGTTGCATCGCATGCTCTGAGAAGGTTTAGAGACAAGAAAACCACAGAATAAAATACATCTCTGTTGTCTCTTGTCTTCCCCTTTAAGTTAGAATCTAAGCGAGGGAAAGCAAGGGCAGCTTCTTGCTACAGGCTAGCTTTTATAGAATCACAGAATCATAGAATTACATGGTTGGAAAGGACCTACAAGATCATCTAGTCCAACTGTTCTCCCATCATCATTACTACCACAAGCTAGTAAACCTTATCTCAGAGCAGAAATTTCTGTGTCATATTAACTCCCACTGGTGCAGGGATGCACAGAAACTGTGGACAGAAAGGTACTTTCTCCTTGCTCCAAGGCAGGTCAGCTCAGTCTATAATCTTAGACTGAAATTTTTACATGCTATTTTAAAGATTGCCTTTATACACCCCATAGTCACTGTTGCACTTTGTTCCAGGGCTTCATTAGCCTTAGTCCTAAGTCATACTGTAGTTAAAAATCTTGACATTTTGTCCCTTATGCCCTGGATATGGAGAATAAATTATACCCATCATCCTTATATTACTTGTATTGCCCCTCAAGCCCTTTACTACTTCAAGATGCTATCACACTTCTCCCTCATTCTTGTTTAAGAGCTTCAGGCTTTCTGGTCTTCTCATCTAAAATTCCCAGATCCTCTTCTCATACCTTAAGGCAAACACCAGGCTTTCTGCCTCAGCAGAGAATGGCACAGGAATACATGGAAGGGTTGATTTAAAGAAACTGCTTCTCCCTCCACTCTCAGTGCCCCACAGATGTGCCAAGATCTGAAACTGCACTAATTTTACTTTGTCAGACTTATCAAGGAAACAATTACATGGGTCTCTGCCTTTGGGTCCTCCATTCAAAGTCTCTAATGCTTCAAAGATGCATGCACTTGATTAGCTTAGAGCTGCTCACTCCAACACGATGAGTGAGCTACAAAGACAGAAGGCTGAGATAAGCATGTTCTTGTGAGGGTTGTTGGAGAACAGCAGACAATCACAGGCCTTATTTCTCCTATCAGGTGAAAAATTTTACAAACCATGGAAACTTGCAATTTTGCCTCTTGTCTATAGTCTGTGTTTTCCCTGGAATATTTATGCTTTTCCTACATTTCCTTCAGTGATGATCTAATCAAGCAGAATTCTTTTGATATTAACCAGAAGAACAGGGGAACACTTTTGTGGTTCATATTACCAATGGGAATGTCAGCAAGACTGACAGGACTACCTTTGGAATTGCCACATATTAATCAGAGCTCGGCTAACATGGTAGGGCTGGGGTGGAGCTCATTTTGCTTTGCACATGGGAGATGGCTTGTTTGAGAGTTGGGAAACTGAGGGTGGTGGAGTTCCCTCTCCATCTGATTCAGAGATCTCGAACAGCTGCCCTGGCAGCCCTCAGATACCTCTTCCCATCCATGTCTATTTCTTTGCTTTCATCATATCTTCCCATTATTAAACTGTCACATATTACACTCTGCATTGAGCTAGGAGGGCTTGCATAACCAAGTGTAAGCTCACAGTCCTGACTTGGTGACAAAGGGAGTGACAAGCTGCTCCTACAGGCCACTCTGCTGTGGGAGGCCAGAGATAATTGCTCTGAGCCCTGGGACAGGGTTCCAGGAAAGAGAGCCTGGTTCCAAAAACAGAGGCATATTAGACTTGCAGAAGCAGCTAGGATACAAAGTAGGCATATCTAGCCAAGTGAGCAAACAAAACCAAAGTCATTTTTCTCTCCTTAAAATTTTGCACTGTTGTCACCCAGCACAGACAAATGGCTAAACACAACTGGTAATGGAATAATTAAATCAAACATTAAAAAAGGCAACAAAGGTAAAAATATAGCTGCACCATCACTATCCCCAAAAAAGCAGCATGTATTTGTCATGAGTAACTCTATGGAGTAATGGGATGCAGCAATGAGCCGACCTGGGCCCCTGCATATTGCTTGGACAGGGGAAGGAGCATTGCTCTTCCAGTACAGAACACTGAATACAGAAAAGCAAAAATGTTGGCATTCATTTCTAAATCTGTCCTGCCTGGCTGGCTAAAGAATTAAAGCTAGAATATAAAGTGCTAAAGGGACAAAATCATACCCAATCCATACAGTTTCCTCTGCTTTGATACACACAGAGAATGTGTAATTCCACGCACTTCAAGCATTGCACTCATGCATAGAAGGGCCTGCAAAACAAGGCCCTTGAAGTCTCAGTAGAAATTGTAAAATGGAGTTCCTAGGTCATAAACCAGGATCTTGCATCAACCGTTTACCATTTATTTGCAGGAATAGGATTAACTGAAAATTCAACAGCTACTCCATAACTTCTCACATTGCATATGGAAAAACCTATCAACTGGTGTCTCAAAGAACAGGTGTGAAATTCCTACTTCTCAACTTATTCCAGCAACTGCTCTGATGAAGGAACATCTCAGAAAACACACTTTTTCACAAGTCTGCTTTGCACAGGTCTGGCTTCCAAAATCTAATTCCCTCTATCGATGCCATCTTCTTCACATTAAGCAGAGCACATAGTCTTCTCTTTAGAAAGAAGGCTGTGGGTTCTCCTTGAGGTAGCTTGCTCCATGAAGGTCTACCCAAGAGATAAATGAAAAGCGAAAAAAAGTCAACATAAAATAGAGACTCAACCTAGCAAAACTGCTGCTGATATTCAGGAGCAGAAACCACATGCCTCTTTTGCCTCAATAATTTCCAAGCCATAAATGATGTTTAATGTGGAAAAAGTCATAAGCGTACAAAAGTTACTTCTAAAACTAAAAACACAGCGTTTCTTACTTATGGCTTTGATAAATTAAGTGTTTTGTATTCTGGCATTATGCTTGCCATTCTGAAGAACCTTTTTGCTAGGTGAAAAACAATGGCACTGCATGTGAGCATGTCTACTGGCTCTGCAGTGTCCTTCTAGGAAGAGTACCCTTCCATATTCTGGCACAGACTATTTCTGTTGACTGCTCAGCAAAATGGAGCATGTTGTCCTTCCACTAGTGGTATATCACAAGAAAATTAAACAATACTAGGAGGAATTTAAATTTTGCTGTCCATTACGTTCTTCTACACTCTCAGTTTTAGCTATCTTCCAGTTACATGTTCCCTACTGTCTGTCCAACCCAGCAAGAGACGGTGCATGAAAAATTACACACAAATCAGAAGCAGCTCCCATAAACAAAGCATACCGAAGTATTTCTAAGGGACACAAGAGCGGAAAAAAAAAAGGATGCTTTGCTGTCCTCTTCATTGCTGTTCAACTGCAGACATTTTAAGTGTGTTCTGCGTTCCAAAACTATATTTAAAATAAAGCTTTTAAAGTAAACAGCTTGCACTGTGTGCCAAGATTGCTGTAATGTCAAAACAGAAAATACTGCTTGTCTGGCACATGCATCACGTTCCAAGCAGGAAATCCAACAAAACATTTAACACAGCAGACATCATTTGATAGTCTCAACTACGACGCCCACTTGGCACTGGCAGTAAGTAGTCTTCCACAAACTGTATCCAAAAATGATGCTTGCCTAACTTGTTATCATGCAAAACATTAATGGGAGCAGTTTTCTCTTTTGAAGTCCATTGGAACTGGAAATGTAGGCTGAAAATGCCTGGTACATATCCATGCAGAAAGCTGAGAACCACCCTTTTACGATTGAAGCACACAAAATAACACTGGGAAGCAGAGCTGGTCAGCAAGCCTGTAGCTGCCTGGTCAGACCTCTGAAGACAACTACTGGCTCATCTGCAGGCCACAGTTTTTAACTAATGCTATCTGAGCCATTTTCTGTTTTTCTCACTGCTTTACTGTTCAGGTTACGTAATCCCGAAGCTTTTTTTTTTTTCTCTCAAAGGTTCCTTTTCTCATTCTGCATCAGTATGAGGCATGGGATCACATCTTCACCAGTTGTGAAAGAGAGCTGTATTAACCAAATGCACTGACTTCAATAAAGCAGGGATAGGTAGTATTAAAGCTGCTACAAAACTACATTTCTATTCATAAACACATATATGAATCCTAACAGCAGATACTTAGGACAAACAGCCTTACTATCAGCACTAGAAAAATTATAGTTTGCCTAGGCAAAGGAGGGCTGCTGAAAGAAATCCACAGCTGAAAATAATATATTGTCATCATGACAATTTAAGTGTACTCCTCAGAGATTTCCTGAAGCCTTGACCTACTCATAGAAAAACCATGATGCCTACAAATGGATCCATTGAGCATGCCCTGATAGCTGTTTTCATCTTTTCTAACAACAAGTGACTCAGTTTTCCTTTTTTCTTCTTGCACCTCACTCGGTGAATTGAACAGGTTTTCAATGGTTCACGGCCAAGCCTAGCCCTCTCTGAAAACACATTTTAGTTCTGCTGTTGCAGCATTTCTTCCAGGACAGGCGCCCAGAAAAGAGCTTTAGAAACCAGTGTTTACTATTCTGGAGTGGAATAATTTCTGGAAAAACACCATAACCATCCATAAGTTTTTTTGTTTTTTTTTGTTTTTTTTTTTTTAAATCAATCACTGTTAAGACAGTCCTGCACTTCTGATACGCCAGCATTTTACATGCACCTCTTTGGGAGTCCAACCCACACATTAGTTACAGCTCTCTGGAGTATGCACTGCCTTGCATCTGGTGCTGCTCAGATAAATGCAGTATTCTTCCTAGGACAATCAATTGGGAAGTTGTTATTAACACATTCCTCAAAGCCACATAGTTAGAACTAAAGTATTTCTCAGGAAGCATATTCCTTAACTTACCCATTGCAGCATACCTGGTCTTTCCTGATAGTTGGAACTGGGAAGACCAAAATCCTTTGCATCCCATCAGACATTTGAATCCTGAACAGGCAATAGAATTGAGCGTGCCCCATAATAGCTCATGAAGTTCTCTGCTTTTTATTGTCAAGATATTCTGCTACTGACTTTATAAAGTTTTTTTCCCAACGTAAACAACTTCGCCATCATATTACTGACTGCTGCTACTGCTAGGTCAGAGTCTGTAAACACGGCAAAGTATCACATACCAGATGCAGCACAAATTAGCTTGATCTTCATGTGAATTATGTGGCATTCTTCATCAGTGTTTTTGGTTTACTCTCTTGTCATCCAATGCTGCTCTTGCTTCTTCTCCTTTTACAATGGGTCTACATCTTTAGACTATTACGCCCCTAGTAATCCAGGCATGGCTTCCATGCTCATACCTGCTGCTTGTTTGTAATCATCTTTCCTGATTTTCCTATCCTTTTCCCAAAAGGCTAAGGCACTTTTTTTTTTCCTCTGTTTTTTAATTAGCTATAATATTTATCTTCCTCCTATTTATTCAAAACTCACCAATGTGCCACAGAGGTGTAAGATGCCACCTCTGTCTGTGGCAACAGCAACAATCCCTGAGCTGCTGTGGAAACACAAGTATTGCTGAAAGAGCTCTCTGGGCAACTCCTGGGTCCACACCTGCAGCCTGGGGCATATCACCTGAACCTGCTGTCATGGTGCTGTTTCCTACTCATCTAAGGCAGAAGATGGAGTGCAATCCTCTAGACTTCAGTACTGAGAACCCTGACACAACTATTTTCTTAAATGTGTTTATTCCTGCTAGACTGTGCTTCCAAATGTGCTTTTAGAAACAGTTAGGAATTAAGAACTCAGTGGTAAGTTATTTAAGTGGATGAAAAGCCTCACCACTGTAATGCCGCACCTTCTTCCTCACCTGTGTTAACTGAGCTTCAGCTTTAAACTACCAAATATAACACACCTATTTTGTTCTGGTTGGACCATTTCATTATAAAAGCTGCACTCTCTAAATAAATGTCAAAAGGTTACAGTAAGATTTGCCTTCTTTTCAGTAAATTAAACATACTATTAAATGGATGCTAAGATTGAGTTGGGCTTACCAAGTGCAGAATTCTCTGGCTCAAAACACAACACACAGACCAAGAGACAACAGGCATTGATACAACTTAGCATCAATAAAAACATGGGAATTATTTCTGTCAGTCAATAGTGAGAGAACGATCAGGTTATAAAGCAGTAAGGAGACAGTCTCAAGCCCCAAATTTCTGAAAAGATGGAAACAATCCTTACAATCCTCAGACCAGACTTGAAGCTTTCTAGTAAAGAAGCACAAAGCTTTGTCCTGTTGCCACATGAAAAAATTTGGTGACTAAGTAAGCCTGAGTATCTTGTTAACAAGACCTACAATCTTGAAAGTTGACCCTTTGCAGTAAGAAGTGTGACACAGAAACAAACTCTTGAAGGAAAAAAAAGGCTGCACATCCCAAGCACTGTAACCCGAATAAAGATGCTTTCTAAAGGGACAAAGCTGCTTGTGCACAGGTGCCTGCTACAATTGCTGCTCCTTGCGTCAGTGTGTAAAGCGCAAGACAAAACACTGCTGGGAGCTGGGCAACAAGGGAGGTGGAAGTGAAAGGCTGGTCCTCTCAGCCTCTCTATTTCACAACAGTTCCTGAAAATTTCTGAGTTCCAGGAGAGCTGCCCAACTTCCTCTGAGCCACTGCCTTTGAGCTGCATTTGCAACACTAGCGGCCTGTGTATTTCAGGAATGCGAAAAACTGGCACAGTGAGGTTTATGATTCAGCCAAGATGATGTGTTGGGACATGACTGAAGTTAATTAAAAGGAGCTTAAGACAGACAGACAAAAAAAAAAAAAAGTTTGCAAGACTCCTTAAAGAACCAATTAATTATTATTTGTGGCTGCACACGCCAGCTAGGCCACAACATGGAATCTCCCCAGCCTCACCTCACAGCCTTTATAGAAAGCCAAAAAAAAATCCCCACCAAATGCAGGTCAGCTTTCAGGAGCTCTGGGCCAGTATCTTTGCACTGGAGCTGGGTAAAACTTTACTAAAATCAGCAGAGTGGCATTGTTTACAACCACAGATTTAGGCTAGGTCTTAATGGTGAACACAAAGCAAGAAATAAGCAGTACCTCCAGCAACAAGTCAAAACGCATGGGCTACTCCAGAGCTGAATCGCCTGGTGACATTCATTGTCCGTGTGCGTGGCCTGGAAAAGGAAGGAGTGCCTGGAGTCAGTGTGGGAGGAGAGAAAGATGGGAATAATTTAATCCTCTCTTTAATGCATGACAGTGATCATTTTCAGAGCTGCAAGAGGCACCCACATGAAGTGAAGCAGTTTTACACACTTCCAGCCTAGTTTCCTGTAAGGATTTCCTGTAAGGAATTCAGTAAGAATTCCTCTGAATTCACAAAGATTCTAAATCAGTACATGTAAATTCTGAGTCCTGGCTCTGCAGCCGCAAATCTTCCATCATCTCCCCATGATGGGAAAGCAGTGGTGACAGAGCAGCGTGAGCAGTGCCCCAGCCTGTCCCAGGAGCAATTCACCCAGCATGGGCAGGAGCTAGCCTGGCCGCAGCCCCGCCTGGCTGGAGTGTGCAGCCCTGTGCTTTACACAAAGGCAACAGGCAGAGCCACATGGCCCAAGCAAGCTTCCTGAGCAAGACTTAGCAAAATTTGCAGTTGTCCTCCTCAGAAGGAACAGAGCCTACTGCACCCTGAGTTACTGACAAGTATGTTCAACAAGAGGCTGAGGTGTTAACAGTGGGGACTTTTTACTTCGACTCACTGTCACCTCAGTGCGATTGCAGTCTACGTGTGACCGGCACGGCTGCTCCCAGCCCAGCAAGGAGCCTCCTACTGCTGCAGGCCCTACACCTGCTCACACAGCCCTGCCTGCACGTAGACTTTGGCAGCCCCTGTGGCATTTGCTGGGGTGGGGGTGGGAAGACCATGGTGTCATTTACACACAGGTTGAACAAACCAGGTGCAATCAGTTTGGGTTTGGCTGAAAAATCCTCCACCCTGTGCAAGCTATTTAACTCCTGCAATGCCAAAGCTTTGTGCATGCCCAAGGCAATGAAAACCTTAGTCTGCAGAGAAGAATTCTCTGGGTCATTGTTCCTCAAGGCACCACAGGAGAGGATAAGGTCCTATTAGACCTGTTGCCTAAAGACAGATAGCCAGTTCTCCAGATACTATGCTCTGAAAAATTAGTCTAATCTGAACTATGAAAACATATAGTAAATACAGCAAAGTCAATTGTTGCGCAGGCTGCCCAGAAAAGTGGACATCCCACCCCTGGAGGTGCCCAAGGCTAGGAGGGATGGGGCCTTGGGCAGCCTGATCTGGTGGTGGCAAGCCTGTCTGCTCTCCAGAGGCTGCAACAGCACTTCTGGTGCTGTCCTGGTGACAGAGTGAATGGCCAGCAGGGAGCTGAGGAATGGCTTAAAGATCTAGTGCTTGATTATGCTCCATGCAGGTGAGGGCACTTCACCTGTAGATGATGAGTAACACCAAGGGGTGGTATGGGGACTGCTGGGGGAAGAAGTGGGAGCAGTGCACTGGACTACGCCTGGACACTGGTGCACGTCCAGTCCATCTCCATCCCGCTCTTAACAGAAGACCATTGGGTCCCAGTTATCTTTAGGCTGCAAGCTGCTTCCTGGAACATCCACCTTTTGCCTTCCCACTCACCAAGCTGGCTGGCAGGATCAATGCATCTTGTGTCTCTTAGGAAGGGAGATTTTGGGATGCAGTCTGTAGGGGCTGGACAGTGATCCACACCTGAGCTCAGTGTCCACGAAGTCCACTGAGTGTTGCTTATGTCCAGTCTATTATGCTGCTTGAAATGGATACTACAATGAAACCCATATGGGAAACCATTAACTGCAGATCACATGGGCCAAGAAGGACATGTTTGCAGAAAGCCCTGGAACAGTAAATTTTATTTGAGTTTCTGTCTCCAGTTGTTCTTCTAGCTCTTTCAAAAGGCTATGTATGAAGCAGGGGAGGGACCTGGGGGGAACTCCGGACTGAAAGTAGCTTAACACCTTGCTGGATCCTCGCCAAATACATTTTCACATTAAGAACTCTAAACTAGCAGGAAAAATACTTCTCTCGACCCCTGAGGGGTCAGTGAGATACCCAAGCGCAAATGCAAGACAGAGCTAAGATCTGACATGAAAAGCCAGGGTTGCTCACCTCATTCAGGAGCTGAAGCCCAGAGAAAGGGGCACAGCTTCCAGGAATGGACAAAGACTGCAAACCCTGCAACAAAGGCTACTTTTCAGCAGCACATAAAGGAAGGAGGGCCCAGCTCTGCCCCTCCAGCCAGACTCCACCCCTCGCAGCGTGGAGGCCTTCGCAGAGCGCCAGCCACATCTAATCAGGTCTGACAGACAAGACAAGGCAGACGGCCACCCGCCATAGGCACCCCCGCCCCTGCTCACCCGCAGGCTTTCCCCCAGCCCTAGGGATGCTGCCTCAGTGGAACTGCTCACGCCAGCACCATGGCGCCACTGCTGCCCCCTGGCCCTCACCCACTCTGGTCAGCATGCACCCGGCCGAAGCCCCACGACCTGCAGTTTAGGGCACAGCCCAGTGTTGATCAAACAGGAACTGGGGCAAATCCTCAACGATACACGTTTCCCATTGGACAGAAAAAAATCCAAACTTTCAAAGAGTTCATTTAAGCATCTCTGGGACAAACAAGCCAGTGTTGGAGGCATAGAACAACTCAAAGGAGTCAGGCCTGTTTCATAAAAGCAGGGAAGACCGAGTATTTCCTAAAACTGCCTCTCTTTCACTTCTTAGATCAGGGTTCAGTATGCACGAGAGCAGGGTAAGAATCTAGAACGGAAAGTTGAATAAGCAATGCTTAAAAGCGAGGAGGCAGGAATTCACCAAAGCAAAGAGGAGGAGAAGGAGAGAGAGAGGGGGAGCAGAGGCTCTTTTTAGAAGTGTGAGTACCACTTTAGCGCGCAGTAGACAGAAAACTGGTTGGAAGCCCCATGATTCAAGCAGACACTCAGCCCTGGGAGCCAGAAAAAGAAAGGATTTGGCAGAAATTCCTCTGCAAAGCAAGGAATCATTTCTGCAGCAGAATATTCAGCTTGGCCTTGCTGCAAACCAACCTTGCCAGCTACTTGATCATGCCAGCAGAATATTAGCACTCAACTCCTCTGCTCTAATGAAGCCATGAATCTCTTCTATCCACTCCTATCTTCCATTTGCCCTCTTTTAAGTCAGTTCCTCACAGTCTCAGTCTTCCTGCAGTGCCCTGGGGCCATCCCAGTGCTCAGGGAACTAACAGCAGCCTGCCTGCCAGTCTCCTGGATGCCAGCTGCCCACCTTCACTCCTCCCACATTTGCTCTTTGGGCACTGTTGTCCAGTCCCTGTCACACTCCTTCCTTCAAGAGGCTACAGCTCACAGCACATGGACGAGAGAAAAAAATCACTGCTCTGGAACCACTCAGATTAAAGACAGAGAGGCCAAGCACCTAAGAGCCAATTTCGGGAAGCTTTGGCACCATGCAGGAAGTTGAGACAATCTGATGCACTGCTGAACACACTGTATCAGTTTATCTTTATTCATCCTCTCTGGGACCAGCTGTGCACAGCACACATCATGCTGCAGTGGTATTAAGCCAAGGCAGCTGGAATGTTTGCAAGGAAACATAGCAGATACAGCACTATTATTGCACCACATTAATTTTTTCACTGCCTTGCAATATGGAAGAAGACAGAGTCAGTACTGGGCAGCTGGACTGCGTGGCACCCACATATCACAATACAGTAGAACTGCACCCATCCATACTACAGGGACTCTGCTTGCATCAAGGGCTAGTGGTGCCAGCATAAGCCACAAAGGCAGTCTGAGAGCTTTGCACACCTGGACTTGAAGAAGAAAATACCACTTCAAATAAGAAGACAAGATACCTAAAAACTTCAGTGAAAAAGTGACATCCACATCCTGATTTTCTGAATGTGTGCCTCCTGAAATAATAAAAAAAAATAAAGCAGGTCAATTTTAGCTTTTAAGGACATTTTCCAGGGCACACCAACACACTTAAAGCATCTCTAGTCACCACATCTCAAAGAAACAGAAGTATCCTTTCTAGAAAAATTATACTCAATTGCTTAGGAGCATGTGTATACTTCTCCCAAAACGGTACAGAAAAGATAAAGCTACACTAGAGCTGTAGTCCTGTTTCAACATGTCAACTAGTAAGACTGTTGATCCTAGCCTAGCTGTGAAGCTAGTGGTAGAGAAGCTGAAAATTTAGAGCTAAAAAGTAACTACCTTGGAAACTTCTTGTTAATGAACAAATGATTGTGTAAAATGTTTACTAGCATTCACAATTCCATTTTAATTATTCCCTCTGTTGAAAAGAAACATAAACATACCCAAATTCACTTGGAAGAGAATTAAGGAATTCTAAAATATGAGACAGAAGCAAAGTTCACTTTGGATCTGATGCTTTCCACACTGGGTTTGAATTTTCACAGAAACAGCCCCTCCACCAATGGTTCTGTTTCTAGACTTCCTGTTCAATAACTCCTGCTGCACACCAGACCCTGCACTCTTCCCCCTTCAAAAGCAGCGCTTACATAAGGAAGGCTTTGTACCCACTACACAAGGTGGGTGACACCAGCAGCCGTAGAGGGATGTACATAAAATGAGTTTTGACTATGGCTAAAGAGAATGACTGAGACACAAAAAAATAAGTTCAAATTGTATTGTTGGCTATTCTGAATTCAAACAGGTCTGTATTTTGGGGTCTGTGCCTAATTTCTGCAGTCTAGCTGGGTTCTCATCCTGTCCTTCTACATACTTGTTCTGGCCATGTGAATAAGGCTCCTGAAAAGCACCAGGTTACTGCAGGGGTTGTTTGTTCACTTGAACTCCTCTTGGAAAAATAAGGATAACAAAAAGGGAAGAAGACTGAGTGACTCACAATTTACTTTCCAGCAGGATACAACTATGGCGGGAGGCAGCCTGGTGAATGCCATCAGGGAGACCTGTGGGGAAAAACAAAAAGTATAGAGAAATTCAACAGAAAAAGAGCAAGAAGGAAAGTTTCCAGACAGTAGTGGAGTGAGGAAAAACTTTGCAGACACATCCTGGAAGGGAAAAAACAGAAGTTTAATTCCTAGGCACAACACAATAAGGACCCAGAAGGCTGACAGCTGTAGTGATGAGCGAGGAAAGAGAGTGCAGGAGACAGAACTGGACCCAGTGATGTTGTGCTGGAGCCTGTTGTGGTTAGTCTCTGCTGCATTACTGGGGACATCACTCTATCTTTCTACAAGCTTACAACATCTGGGAATCTTCCCCACTAAAATTCCTGTGACTGCACAAAAGAGCACTGATTAAGGCGAGCCACAAAGCAGCTATTTGGAGGTAAAACAACTGAAAAGGTGTGATGAATATAAGCATCAAAAGATTCCAAATAGATCCTGAGCTTTGGGACAGGGACAATCTGAGAAGAAAAGGGTTCTGTAGACAAAAGGAAGGCCCTGGAAAGAGAAAATAGAAGTTCTTTGATCTGAAATTCTGCTTTATTTTAAAACAGACATATTGCAACAGAGATGTGTGTGCACACAAACAAGTCAAGTATCCACATGTACACAATTGGTTCTGGATATTCCTTCTTCCTTTAATTGGTCCCAGGTGAAGCATCAACAATCACATCTGGAAATTTTTATACAAATGGCAAGAAAGCCAATGACTTAGGTCACAAATATTTCACGCTCTTTCTTTGCCAGAAACACAGGACAAATGTGGTTTACATCTGCCTCCCTGTAAATACTCACACTTGCAAGATACTCTGCTGTGGCTAATACCTCTGTTTCCACAATCAGAACTGATCAGCATACCACTCTTCTCACCAAGCTTGAGTTTGGTCAGACCTGCAAATCTGGACACTGGGTGACACCTGCAGTCCAGGTCAACTTCTCATTAGGATACATATCAAGAAATGGCACAGACATCCTAGGTGACTTGTAGATACAATGCACAGAATCAAATTACATGGATAAGCATTTTTAAAGGCTGCTGCAACCTCAGCCTTCCAGTCTCTCCATGAGACCACAGGAGAGGCACACCCAGTTTCTGCCAAATGTGCAAACTCAGCTTAGCATGCAGCAGCTCACCTTCCAAAGGAAAAAACACCAGTACCCTTCAATTCCCCACCCTTCCTGCCTCAGCCACTAGCAGGCTTGCTGAAGAAAGGTGGTGCTGGCAGCAGCCATAATGTTTAGCTGCTCATATTCAAGAAGAGATTGTTATGACCCTTGTCCATGATATTCCAAATCACCTAACTAGTTCTGCCTGGTCTGTACTGGTGCTGCAAAATGCTAAACAAATTCAACACATCTCAGTAAAAATGGCCTCGCTTTCAGGCATCAAAGACTGGATTCAGATAAGTCTTAACAGTAGCACTTTTTCCTAGCAGTAATTGTACTCAGCTTCATTTTGGGAGGAAGATTCAGAGAGAGCACAATGTCCTCAATATTGTCATTATATGGGTGCTGCCCTGGCCAAAGACACAGCTTTATTACTGTCTGTGATATCTGCATTCTGAGGAATACAGAAATGCATTTCTTTTTTCTTTAGTACTACCTGGTTCCCAGAAAAAGCACAAGATCTTCTGTTCTTTGCGCTTCTGAAATGTCCTGCTGGTGTAGATGCTGGTGTTAGATCACCACAAGAAATGCTGATTTAGAAGAACTGCAAGCTCTGCTGGAACCAGTGGAGTGCAGAAGGAAGGCACAATTGGGCAGGAACAGCTTACACACTTAAGGAGCCAATTCTGATCATACCTGTGGTAACTTTGTATTGCTGAAGGGGAAAAGAGACTACAGACACTGCCTAACAAGATTTACCTACCTCTGAATGGCCAGTGTTATGCTTCAAGCAACCAGAACTTGTAATGGACAAAAGTGAAAACACCTACTTTTTTTGGTTTGTTTCATCTGTGGCATGCATCTGGGGTGACTGGTTATATTTTCTCTCCCTAGAGTTTTACACCAAACTGCTAAGTTCTACGTACGTTCAAGCAAGAGCAGCCCTCTCAAATAGAAATGCCAAGCAAGATGCACATTCACTTGAAAAAATTAACATTTTTTAATGCAATATTTAATTAACACATACAATTTACCACAAGTCTCACTGCTGCAAGAAAAAGCTGAATATCTAACTTTTTTTTTTTTTTTTTTTTAAGGATTAAAGAAGTTTGATTAAAGTTAGTATCTTCAGATAACTAATTCATTACATTTTCAGAGCATTCCATTAGCCAGGCTAAAATACGTGATGCCACTGGGACCTGTCCTAGTCACTCAAGTTAAGAACATGTACAGCCTCCATAAACTGCTACCTCATTAGCCTTATTTATTCTGGAGTTTTCCTTTGGAATCCCTACACAGGTCACTGCTAGGAAAAGATCACTGAGCTGATCAGTGAATTGTTGAAAAAGAAAAAACGTCATGAATTGTTCAGACCATGCCATTCAGTTCTAGCCCTCCAGGAGCTTTCTTGAAGCCCAGGCCAATCTGGCCATTGCTACAGGACAGAGGTAGCTCAAAGGACTACGAAACTGAGTCAAGTGAGAGCCCAGTGTTTGGAATCCTCATTCTGAGTACTGATGGACACTGCTGTGCTCTGATTTATTCTCTGTAACCTTTTTAAGGGCACACATTAAAATGACCTCTCCACGTTTCTCCACCAGTGCTCATCTGGTATGCAACAGGTGTGAGGCTGTTGCTGTTCTTAACATCTTTTAAATGTTCTACCAGATGAAAAAATGAATTCCCTTTGTTCCTCGGAGATGGAGTTTCTTTCATTTCCTGCGTAAGGTTGCAGTCCACACTTTCAGTAGAGGGAACAGATGATGTAGGCCTAGAGGCTAAGGGTGCATTTGCATGGCGTGGGTTATCAAATGTTTCTGCACTATTAATCATTTATACCCATTGGGCTGTACATGTCTGGTAACAGGAGTACATCTCCGGGGGTGTTCTCTGTTTTGCAAGAGGTCAAGAGATGAAAACCATGCTTTCAAATCCCTTTGCTCTCAAGCCCATGGATACAGTCTCCTTAAAAATCAAAGCTGAATGAAAGGACCCTGATTTTGGCTTATTTGCATATGTGATTTTGCATTATGTAAATCATCCTACCAGTTCTTATCCCATGGCAGCAGACCTGCCATGCTAGGCTGCAGAAGAGCCTCCAGGTCTGTGCCACAGTGGAGAAGATTGGATTATAGAAATGGACACATGCCTGAGAACAGGTCCTAGCTGCATATTCACAGCTCATCAGCAGGCACGTGGATTTAACCCTTCACTGTCAGAGAGGTAGGGTAGAAGAAAGCATTGCAGCAACCATGGAGAATGCTTAGATATAACAGATGTCTTTGTTTGAATATGTTTAAGGACAAACAGCAGAAGCATTCCATGCCTGCTGTTTGCAAGAGGGTTAATGATCTTACACCACCAGCTTCAGCATGAAGTCCCCAGAAATCAAAACGGTGAAAGATTTCCAGTCCCAGGATCATCACAGGATGAAATGTCCCATTCACATACCACTGCCACCTCATGGTGAGGGTGCACTGTCTGCTTGTGCCGCAGCAGCATGCACACTGGCTGACTTGTAAGATGTCCATTCTGCATCGCTGTAGAGCTCCTTTACATTCCACTGCTACCTTCAGGCCTCCACCCTTTCAGCTGCCACCCTACACGTGTAGCACTCACAACGCTAGCTGTACTGCCCAGATGTCCAGGATGCCACAGCCCAGTACCTCCTTGCTTTTTTACAGTAGACTTCACAGACACATCAATGCAGCAGCACTCCTACAGTTAATGCAACCCCAGACCAGAATATCCAAGCATCTGTAGGAAGTGGAAAATTTTTAATGCTGTGAGGAAAGTGCTGCTTGGACAATAGAAACAGAGAAACCAGGCTCCATCAAGTGGAAGTAGAAGCACTGTTCAGGGACACATGGAAAGTGCTGAGTAGTCGCAAGATGTATTTTGCAAGCTCTAAATGATCTCCTACTAGGGCTAATAACACACTTTTCACAAAAAGAGCGTGAAAAATAACAAAAGCAAAACATAATTGCCATTTCTGGAGAACGTGGCCCTTATGAACCAGTCATCTCCCAAGGACTCATTTTAAACCAGCAATAACTCCAAGGGATTCAAGAAACACTAAGTATCTAACTAAACAAAACTAAGTATCTGGATTTCTCTTGGTTCTGAGAACTAAACTCAGACTAGTTTTGGCCAAGACTTCCTCAGCTTTTAAAGCCAATACGGCCCAAACTAAAATTTCCAAATCAGGTGGATTTGGCTGAGTTTTCTTTGGAGGGATTTTGCACATGTTTTGTTAATCCTGCCAGGACTAGGAACACAAGGGGAATTTCACCAACACTGTATACTGATCAAAACCACTAACATTTCTTCAAGTGATGATGTTTTTACCCACCCTGGGTCAGTTACCCTAACCTACTCTTTGTAAACATCTGAAAAAGCAAACTGACATGCAGTAGCCGACACATGATAATTCCAACTAAACTTCCTACTGCAAGCAGGAACCAGGTGGGAACAAACAGTGGAGGTCAAAAATCAAAATTGGTAAAACGGCAGTGTTAAATTTAGCCTTAAGAGTCCCAGAGGACCTCACTTTGAATATCTGCAGTTTGAAATGTAAAAACTAAAATTTCTTCACTTACAGGATTCCACATTCTCCTTACTTAAACTTCAGCTTTGATGCTCCTCAAAGGCAAGAACAAATGTACAAAGCTAGAGCATCTGGATCATATCTGTGCTCTAATCCTGCAGTTCAGATGCCAGCTTCCTCTTCCCTGGTAGAAATCCATCTGCAAATTCATGCTCAGAAAATGGAGATCAAGCAAACATCAGCTTTTTTTCACTGTTTCAGAATTAATACCAGGGTTTTGCTGTGGGGTTACTTGTACCCCAGCTGCATTGCTTTAGCTATGGCACCATACTGATTCTGTGGTCAG